CGGAGCCCCTCTGGCCCTCTCCTCCTCCTCCGCCGCCTCCTCCTCTTCCTCCTCCTCCTGCTCCTCCTCCTCCTCTTCCACCTCCTCCGCCTCCGCCTCCTCCTCCTCCTCCTCGGGGCCTCGGGGAGCACAGCGTGGTGCAAGCATCATGACAGCTCGGAGGTCCGCGCAGATCTTTCTCGGATTGGCGCTGGGCCCCTCTTCCCTGGCGCGCGGCGCGCCTCCATGGGGGGTCCAGCGCCGATCCAAGATATCTGCGCGGATTTCGAGCTGTTCTGTTTATGCCATCGTCTGGTATTCGAGCCGGGGATCGGCTGCAGAATTGATGTGCACCAAAATTGTATGCGTTCGCCGTGTCTACAAATGCGTAGAATGCTCCGTACAGCATACAGCATTATACGCATTCGTTCGTAGACTCGACGGAAAATCAATTCTGGAGTGAATCAATTCTGCAGTCGATCCCCTGCTCGAAGTATCTCTCAGGCCGCGGCTCGCCTCATGAGTCTGCCCATCGCAGGTCGGCTCATGGTCTGCACCCGGTTTCGTTGGCGATTCTTGCATCGCGTGGCAGCTGAGATTGTAGAGTGGAATTGGTGTTCAGTTGTTTGTGCGTGGGACGGGAACAGGTTTATGCTGTCGCCTCTCTGCCTCGGGCTGGCCGAGGAACGTGGCAGGATCGAGGGGCAGCGTTAGGGGGCGGTGGTAGTTTCGGTCAGAGGAGCAAGAGTCAGGAGGGAAAGAAACACACAGACACAATCAATCGTCGACTTCCAGTGAAAATATTGGAAAATATGGGAAGTGGGGGGGAAAACAGAAACCCAGAAAATATGTGAAAATATTGGGAATATTCTTATTTATGTGTATTTATTTGTGTGTCCTGGGGCCCCTTCAAAGACTCCCGAGTGCTCCGCACGGGCTGGCAGAAGCGAAGGCCGCTGGACACGCCGGAAGCCGGGAAATCGTGAGACGTGTCCTGAGCCGATCCTATCGAAGGATTGCAAAAAAACGAAGGATTGCAAAACAACGAAGGATTGCAAACAACGAAGGGTTTTTTTGCAATCCTTCGAAGGTTTGTTTTGCAATCCGACATCCGTCGGGCTCGAGGCTGGAGATTTTCGGGCGTTGCTCTCTGGCTCTCCGCGGCTTTCCAGCCTCGGGCGTGCTCGCGGCTGGCCGCTCCCTCCGGCCTTCCCTCGACGCCCAGAGGCCGTGCCGGGGGCGCCCACGGGGCCGGGGCGCGTCGCTCCAGGGCGTTGTTTCGGAACGCTCTCGGGCCCAGGCCTCGAACGTGCCGGCGAGCTCAGCACAGAAGGCTTTCCGCAGCTCTCGGCATCTGGGGGCCCTCGCTGGGCCCTCGGGAGCGTCAGGGAGCGGTCTGGGGCGAAGAGGCAGCCCCAGGAGGTGGCCCAGCCTGCGCTGCGGCGCCGCCGCCCCTCGCGCGCGCCCGCCCGCGAAGGCGGCCCCCGTTTTCCTGCGGCCTGGGTCAGGGGCTGCGGCTCGCAGGCCGCAGGGGGGTTTCAGCCAGCGTGCCATAGTTGGACCGGGCGCTGCCCAGCCCCTCTCCGCGCGTGCACAGTGCTCGGGCGAAGAGAACTATGCACATGCACCGGCCCTGGCCAGGCCCCTCCTGGGCCCAGGATCGGTGCATATGCTTTCCTGGCCAAGGCAGGAGGGCGTATGCACCGATCCTGGGCTCAGGATGGGTCTGGCCAGAATCGGTGTATGTGCATAGTTCTCCTTCCTCTGAGTGCAGGCGTCGGAGGCGGTCCGGAACTCCCGGGGCCCCGTGTCGAGAGAGGCACGGCTCCTCTCGGAGGTCCGGGGGGAGCCTTCTGGAGCGCCTCGGAGAGGCCGCGGCGGCCGACCAAGTGCTCCAGGGCCGCCGGATCTCAGAGTTCCCGGGCTTACCACCCCTGGCTTTTAAGTCGGGCCTGTCCCTCTACAGGGGGAATCTTCAAACATAGTCGCAGAATAGTCAGGGGATGATTTTTGAGTATGTTTGAGCATTTTCGGGGTATCTTTTGACTGTTTTTCATCTTTTCTGTCAAAATCCGCCTGTAGGGGGACACGCCTGACCTAACCCTAGCTGTCCTGGCCCTGGCTTCGTCTTAACCTCACAGGGTTTTTAATGCCAGCAGGACCCCCCCCCCTAAGCTCTCGGCTGGCAGTAGAACTCGTTCTTCCCCTCTCCTCGTCCTTCCCCTCGTCGTCACCATCACTACCGTCAGTACCATCAGGGACCTTCCCTCCCCCCTCCGATCTTCAGCGGTGGCCGCCGCGGGGGAATCACCATTTTCCCAGCACTGTTGGGGCCACAATCCGTCAGCCGGCCCGCGCAGCAAAGAGCTCTTTTCCCATCCCTGGGACGGGGGGGGGCTTTACAGCAGGAAGGAACGCTGTGAGCACTTGAGGGGGGAATAAGGTGGTAAACGTTGTGGGCGCTACAAGGCGCTACAAATGCTTGAATGGTTTAGCATGGCAAAGCACAGCATAGCATGGC